AGGGAAGGGAGAAGGAGGAGGAGGAGGGGAAGGAAAGGAAGAAGAGAAAGGAAGGGAAGGGAATGAAATGAAATGAAGGGAAGGGAAGGGAAAGGAGGAAGAGAAAGGAGGGAAGGGAAGAAAACCAAAAGAAGGGAAGGGAAAAGGAGGAGGAAAGGATAAAGTAAATATAAAGGGAAGTAAAGTACAAGTAGTAATAATAGTAAATACAGGCCATATTTTAAGACCAACAAAACACAAGACAAGAACATCATAATCGTTGTCTCTCTTGTGGGCTCAGTCTCAGAAGATGGGAAACAGCTGGGAAAGTAAGAGACGCACAGAAAATGCCAGGAAGCTGAAGAATCGGAATGTCCTAATCTCAAGGGAAATGGGTTGAAACTAAAGAATTACATCTAGTCCAATGTGATTTCTAATTAGGACACATGGATAATATCCAAGGAAGCTGAGAATGTGGAGTTTTCAGGGGGGAAAGATCAAAAGATGAAAACTTGACAACTTCTCTGGGAAAACCTCTCCTGGAGAGACCCCAGAAGGAAGACCTCAGGCCAGTGTTTTTCAGGCCTGATGACCTGCCTAAGACTTGTGGACTTCCGCTCCCAGAATTCCCCAGCCAGCAGGAATTCTGGGAGTTGAAGTCCACCTTTTTCCAAATTGCCACGTTTAGAAAACACGGCCTTAGGAAAGAGCCTCCAGCAAAGGAAACAGAGCTGATTGAGCCACACATCCAAGACAGTTGCTCCAGAGAAGGGGTGACGCTAGAAGACAGAGGGGAGGACGGAGAAATTAGAGATGCCCCCCCACCCCCAAATGCCCTTGGAGGAGCAACAGACAAAGCGGCATCTGCATAAAAGTGGCATGGAGGTCAGAGGTGGGATTCTGACCAGTTCTGGAGAACCGGTACCGGAAATTTTGAATCATTCAGAGAACTGGACAATCCCACCTCTGACTGGCCCCGCCAACCCCATCTAGTCTCCACCTCTCATTGAATCCCAGCTGATCGGCTGGGTCTCCTTTGGTTGCCCTGCACAGGAGAACGGAGCTGGAAAGCAGGTTAGTGGGGTGGGGAGAGGATGGGGAATTTAGCAGTACCCTTCCCTTGCCACACCCACCAAGCCACGCCCACAGAACCGGTAGTAAAAAAAATTTGAATCCCACCCCTGATGGAGGTGGATGCCAACTGAAGCGAATTGAAGAAGAAACCAGGACACGTAGAAAGGCTGCATTAAAGGCAAGACTCTCCGCGGTGGATTGACTCTCCGTGTCCATCACCCGAGCAATCCGTGGGCTCACCTGTCCATAGAACGCGACTCGGAAGTAGGTGCCCAGCAGCCTCCTTCTGCTCTGCATCACTTCCAGGATTTTACTGTATGCCCCGTGGAGCGTTCGGTAGACCTGGGTCAGTTTCTGTAACGGGCAAGAGGGAATAACCGTGAGGGACAGGAGGAAGAGCGGTGGGCCAGAGAGAAGAAAATTGAGCCTGGAGCAAAAGTGTAATCTGGCACGGATGAAGTTACCTGGTCTGGTCATGAAACGACTGCAAGAAAACGAGCAAGCTCAGAGAGCAGCAAGGAGCCCTTATTTCAACCCTGAGTGGCAAATATTCACTTTTATTTGAACCTGCCCTGATTCTTGTGCAGATAAAAGGCCACAAGGCTGCACAGTTTTGTGATCATAATCTTATAAAAGCAGGATTGGCATGTATGACTTGGGTTTCCTACTCTGGTCTACCTTAAAAGGCGGACAGTTTCCAAAAATAAAAAGAAGGCTGGGATGATTTGGGGGAGCTGGAGGCTATAGGACAGGGATGGCGAACCTTTTTGTTGTGGTGTGCTGACAGCGCATGAGCGCCGGCACCCACAATGCAATGCGCCCCACCCCACCCCTGTGCATGCACATGCAACACCCCCACCCTGCCCCTTTATCTGCACTGCACATGTGCGAGCCTCCCAGCTGATTTTTGGCCTGTTTGAGGCCTCTGGGAGGCTCGGAGGAAGCCCCCGCAGCCTCGGGAGGCCGAAAAACAGGCCCGTTTTGGCACTTCCGGTATTTTCGATCTCCAAAGGCTGCAGAGGCTTCGCTTGAGCCTCCGGGAGGGCAAAAACAGCCTCAAACGGGCCAAAAATCAGCTGTGCAGTGCAGGTGAGTTTGGCTGGGGCTTGCGTGCCCGCAAAAATGGTTCTGCCTGCCACCCGTGGCATGCACGCCATAGGTTCGCCATCATGGCTATAGGAGACCCTCTGCTGTTGCCCGCAAGCCCCCTTGCAGGTCTTCTTTGAGCCTGCTTTGGTGTCTGTGGATCTGGACTAACAACTTTTGCTTGCTGGCTAATTTGGTTTTGGCGCTTCCTCCCTGCAGGGCTCAGCAGGATCGCTGGCGCCTGTTTTTGATGGGCTACCTCAAACTCGTGCCGCTTCTCGTAGATGGGGATGATCATCTTGGCCACCTCGGCGATGACCTCGTATCGCTCGGCTTTCCACAAGCCATCGACACATTGCTCCAGCAGCTCCACCAGCACCTCCTGTGAGTTGCGCGAGAAAGAAAAGGTGGGTCACGAGAGAGCCAGTTGAGTCTGGAAGTTGAGGCACCAGGCTTGAGAGTGGAAGGCGGTTGAGTTCTGGGCCTGCCTTGGCCATGGAAGCCATCTGGGTGACACCAGGAGATTGGGAGTTCTAGTCCCAATTGTGGGTGCCAACTAAGGCGCAGAAGACTGCCCAAACAGATGAAGCGGCAATGTGAGAAGCAGTTGCAGGGGTTGGGAAGGAAGGAAGGAAGGAGAGAGAAGGAAGCTGATAGAGGAAAAAGGAAGGAAAAGAAGGAAGGAAGGAAGGGAATGAAAGAAGGAAGGAAGGAGATAGAGAAGAAAGCTGATAGAGGAAAAAGGAAGGAAAAGATGGAAAAGGAAGGAAGGAAGGAAGGAAGGAAGGAAGGAAGGAAGGAAGGAAGGAAGGAAGGAAGGAAGGAAGGAAGGAAGGAAGGAAGGAAGGAAAGGCAGTGGAGAAGCTCTCCTTCAGGATCTGCCAGAGTGGCTCTTGATGCTTTTATCTCCTCTTTGGACACCTGAAGAGCCTTGGACCCACCTGGGCTGGGCTGCCCTGACAGGCCAACCCACAAGTTTGCCAAAGGAAAACTGGTTTAGCCGGTTCAGTCCTTTCGCCACATTTGTTTACTTACTAAAATTCTGGCTCAGGGCTTTCCCAGCTGCTCTACACAGCTTATCACCAGGGGGAAACGTTCAAGGAAGTCAGGCCTTTGCTTGAATAATGAGTCTGGAGAGATACCGAGGACCTCAAGCAAAAGCCAATTTTGAAAACAAAACAAAACACATATTTCCTCTCCCAAAGGAAAGGAAGAAGTAGCTTTCCATTTTCTGAGCCTCTCTCAGCCTGACATGGTTTGGTAAAACCCCAGCTCTCCAAGGGCCATGCTTCCGACGTCTATTCTGGCCCTTTAGAGGCCCCCCTTACCTCGGTGTAATGAACATCCATCACCCCTGCATCTTCCTTCATCGCACCTTCCTCATCAATGTTGGGCGTGATTTTCCTGAAAGAGGAGCATCCGGTAGGGAATAACTCTACAGACAGGAGCCAAGAAAGAGAGAAGAACTTGGAGGTCAGTTGGGGGTTGAAACGGCCACACGATTTCGTTTTTAACCCCTGACGGACTTTATGTCTGTCACACCACCTTATTCCTTGGGACAGAACCCACAGCAAGGTTGTTAACATTCCAAAACTGGGTTCTAGCCCTTATTAGGATGGAAAAAATACCACGTAAAACGAGAAGTAGGCATCTGCCTTAAGGTTCTGGAGACCAGGTTCTAACACCACAAGCAGGAGGTACTTCAAGCAAAGGGCGGGCTGAGCTTGGGTTGGGCTTCCTTCACCTCTTTTGCCTTTTGAATTTCAGCAAGTAGGTTCCCCTTTTGTGGGAACTGTGTAGCGTGCTTGTATTTTTGAGGTGGACAAGCCTTCCAACTCGAGAGGACAACCGGAGGCTTCAGTGAGTTTCTGCAGAAGCAGAAGCAGAAGAGGTGGAAGAGAGAAGGGAGGAGGAGAACCTGGGCGTATAACTCATCTCCATCTGCTTAACCTCCATGGAAATAATCCGCACTTGATAGACAGCCAGGTTGACACCCCACCTCAAGGTTCTCATTTTCTGAGATGTTCAAGAATTCCCAGGCGAACGATGGGTGCCTTCAGGAACCTGGACTCCAACACTATAGTTTGGTGCAATCAGATGTCAGCTTATCTAAAAGCTTGTAGGAAGGCAGGCAGGCAGGAAAATAAAAGCATTAAAAAAATGAAGGAGGGTCAGAGGGTGAAAACCTGGGTTTCTCTCAACAAAAACTTTCCGCTGTCAGAGTTAAAACTGTCCTTGGAAGTTCATCTCAACACAGCACAACAACCGACCACAAACCGCAGCTGGATTTTAGTTCCTTTTTTTCAGTTCAGCTCTATGACAAGTTGGGCCAGGTTCAGCTGATAACAACAAATTCCATTTCTTGGTGTTAAAAATAAATAGAAAATATATGACCCATGCTCCCAAAACTGAGATCCCAAGCTAGCAACTGGAACAGCCAAATAAATCTTGGAGCACATTTTAGTGGTTTATCTCATTTTCTTTTGGTCCGTATCCTGTGACACCCTCCTCCCCCAAAATACCAGAATTGTAACTCCCGGTACTCAAAATCCAGCCAGTGACCCTATGGACTGGGAATTCTGGATGTCGAAGAACGTCTGAAAAGCTATTGCCAAGGTAGTAAGACTGTTGGTTTTCTTCTGATCTCATGCTGCTCTCTACAGATAAATACATTGGTGCAGTTGAATTGTTTCCCACACACACTGCCCACGTTCCTGCTTCCAAGCTACCCAGCAAGTTTATTAGGGAGAGGGAAACATATCAAATCAACACAAAAATGCCAATCAACAGAATCAGGTTCCCAGGCTCACAGCAGGAGCAACGTGTCCAGGTCTCCCCTTCCCGATTCGTCTGGGGAGAAATTTCTTGGAAGCCCTGCTGGGCAGGGCTGGTATTTCCTGATTTAGTATTTTTTAGTATTTATTTGATTTGTCAATCGCTTACAAGATACAGGTATAAGAATAAATATAGTTTTGAATAGATACTTATAAAAAAAATAAAAAGAAACAATAGGACAGGGACAGTAGGCACGATTGATGCACTTATGCACGCCCCCTACAGACCTCTTAGGAAAGGGGTGAGGTCAATAGTAGATAATCTAAGGTTAAAGTTTTTGGGGTTTGGGGAAGAAACCACAGAGGCAGGTAGAGTATTCCAGACATTGACCACTCTGTTGCTGAAGCTGTATTTTCTGTAGTCAAGTTTGGTGCGGTTAACCTTGAGTTTGTATCTATTGTATGCTCTTGTGTTGTTATGATTGAAGCTGAAGTAATCATTTGCAGGTAGGACAATGTATGACCGGAGGCAGCGTAGTTCTAGGTTTTCTAGGTCTAGAGTTTCAAGTCTGGTGGCATAAGGTATTCTGCAACAAGTAGAGGAGTGGAGAACTCCCCTTGTGAAATATTTCTGGACATTTTTCAATTGTGTTAATATCAGACACATGATATGGGTTCCAGACTGATGAGTTGTATTCAAGTATAGGTCTAGCAAATGTTTTGTATGCTTTAGTTAGTAGTGTGATATTACCAGAGAAAAAGCTACGTAGTATTAGACTCTTAATGCCTTTTTGGCTATGTGGTTACAGTGGGCTCTAGCACTTAGATCATTTGAGATGAGTACTCCAAGGTCCTTGGCAAAGTTTGGATCCTCAACAAGATCTTGATCATTCAGCTTGTATTTTATTTTCTGATTTTTTTTCTGCCAATATGTAAGACAGAGCATTTATTTGTTGAGATTTGAAATTGCCATTTGATTGACCATTCTGATACATAGTCAAGGTCTTTTTGGAGGGTGGTAGAGGGGGAAAAACACAGGCCATTTCTATGGAGATGGCTGATTTAAAGTGCTTGCTGGTTTTGCATTTTGTCATCAAAAAGGGGTGAATCACAGCCCATTTCTTCCTCTCAAGAAAAGATTAATGACTTTGGAGTTAGCAGGCAGATTGTTTCAATGGAGGCGAAGGAATGCACGAGATTTTTTTTTATTGGTTACTTCCTGTTGAAGAACCTTTTGCAAGCAGACTTTGACTCAGCAGAGACAAACAGAACAATTCACAGGGAGGCAACAGGAAACTTTTTGTTTTCCCTTGATGAATGATAGCCTTGGCTTGGCTTTTGTGGTCAAGGTTAAGCTTCTACCAGGTTTTCCATGTACAAGGAAGCTGTCACCATTTCTTTAATGATCGTTGAAGTTACAACAACGCTGAACAAAATGACTTAGGACTGCTTGTCATATCCGTCATTGTAGCAACGTCCCTCTCAGCTTTGGAAGCCCTAGTAGCACCAGAAGCTTCTACGCTACCACATTTCTGAGCCTGGGAAGATGGGAGGGGGGAATTGCACGGAGCGTATGTGCTTAGACATAATAGCATTCTTCTTCTCAATCAAGGTCATGTTATTTCTGCACCTGGGTGAGGGGACATTTCAAATTGGGGCGGATGGTGATTGGGGCATGTGAGGGAATGAGGGGGTGGATTTGTAATTTTTTACTTATTGGAGGGAAACCCGGAACTTTCAGATTCAGGATTTCCCAGATGTGCCTGTGTATTTTCTCTAATAAAAGGGGACTTTGAGAAGATGTCGGTCTCGGAGTTACTGATTGGAGTTGAATTTTCTGGAACGTTGACAGTCGCATAGTCACATGGTCAAAATTCAGATGCTTGGCAACTGGCATGTACTTATGACTGTTTCATTGACTTGGGGGGAGGGGGGTCACACAATCCCCTTTTGGGGAAACTGGATTCACTTAATAATTGTGTTACTCGCTTCACGATTGCGGTGATTGGCTAAACAACTCTGGCAAGGAAGGTTACAAAATGGGGTCAAAAACTCACAGAAACGCAGTCTTGTTGAAATGTTGGCCTCAATAGCAGTTGTAAGTCAAGGACTAACCGTACGTCAGTGAGGTGCTTGGATCGAGGGTGACAATGTCTCAGAGCCGGCTATCTGTCAGGATTCTGGCAGTGACCCCCAATAAAATCATGAGTCTCAAGCCAAACTTCTAAAACTTAAAGATGATTTATTAGGAGTAAACATGCCGGCACTGCCTGGGTGCAGCCGACTCTGAGACACATCATTCACTGTCACCTTTGACCCTGGTTCACCCCACCCCCTGGGTGTATTGTAATTCATATCCTCCAATGGGACACATCCATATCCCAGAATCATCAATCATGCTCTCCAGTTAGAATTTTGCATGGCAGAAACTTCGGTCACCTAGAAACTAACTTTGAAAACATTTATGGGATGCACTTTCAGTTTTGCAAGCCTGTCGCACTGCTTCCCCCTCCCTTTCTTTTGGCAGCTCTAAAAAGACCACAGAAATATTTTTATGAGTTGACATTTGGGCTCCCAAGGGTGCCTGAAGCACAGAAAGAAACTAACTTTGGTTAACTGCCAAACCGAGGGTTGCAGCACCAGCCCACCATGGCACCATCTCTGCTTCCAGGAGCCAAAACGAGACATTTCCCATCAGGGAAGCTTTGCAGAACAGGAAGGAAGGCTTCCAAAATGAGTTCCCTGCCTACCCCCCACCCCCACCCCGCCCCATCTTCCACACGTGGAGCACTCACTTTTTCTGTGAAGAAACTCTGCCACTAAGGCTGCAACGTGAACGTAGCACATGGCCGCCTGTGAAACAAGAGCAAAGGTGAGGCAAGGCAGGTGAGACTTCCGGGAAGTGGCCAAAGGGTTGGGCATTGGCCAAGGTCATTACCTCTGAGAAATCCCCATTTTTGACGTGGATCTTGGCCATGCTGTCCAGCCAGGTCTTCCGCAGCTCCGGAGTGCTGGCGTAAGACTTGGCCAAGCTGAAGTGCAGGTCCACCAACATTTCAGGGTCCTTCTCGTGTTCTTTCATCTGTGCAGTGGCCATTAGCACCGTGCGGATCCTCTTTGTCAGATCCTTGACTTCGGAAGGGAACGCAGTTGCCTGTCATAGAAGAGAACGTCCCTTTGAAGGCCTTAGGAGGAGGAGACCCTTCAAGGCCCTTTTCTCCCGTCTACCAGCTGTTCCTCTAGCAGTTAAACCAGAGAGGAGGGACAACTGGGGAAGAGGAAGCCCAGTTGGGTTGGGGTGGGCTTTTCTCCTTTCCCCCATGGGACCGTTTGACACATCGACTGTCACATCCTAAAGACCATCCTGGACAATTCTAAAAGATGCTGGCCAAGCCAGAAAGCCCATAAAAATACAGAAGAGAGGGAGGAAGGCCACAAGGGCAGACTCTTTGGTGGCAATCTGGTTGGAAGCCACCTCTGAAGTGCTGGCTGTGGTTGCTAGAGCTACACAGAAGATAGTTCTGACCCAAGCCCTTTTCCAACAAATCAAACACAATCCAAAGGGAACAGAAACCTTTTAATGCTTCTGCAAAATCATGAGCTGTGATAAGCACAAGCCTTGCCAAACTGGGCGAGACTTGCCAAAAGATAACAGGCAAGAAATAATTTGCGATACAAGAATCTTCAAATACAAACTCAGGATACTGGAATGTCCACAAGGCTGGAGTCTCAAAATGTTTTTGCCTTCTGCAAAGAACGTTCGTTTCACAGCTGGCTTTTATCTTCTTGAAGGAGGGTCCATTATCTTGCAGCCTTACTCCCATGCTGTTGTAGCTGCTCTTTCCTACGAGCAGCCCTGCACGCACGCGCACTTGGCACAGGCTCCTCGGGAACCTCCTCATTGCTGCTGCCAGCCCCCAATCTCTGAAGGCAGCAATCCACTCCCTAATGGTCCTGGCCCCTCATCTGAGTCCTCGCTCTCCTCAGCTGTCTGCACCTGCTGCCAGCTAACCACAACAAAGATGCTATCAAATGGCAACTTCTAATGCTGCCCAAGGAGAAAACCATTAAACACGGGACTGAGAAGTCACCATGGTGAACGAAAACAACACATTTCTGATTCCAGGAGATCCCTGAAGACACAGACTTGTGGGGCGGCGCGTTGTGCAACGAGGTCACACAGTGTAATAAGATTGGGACTGGGCTAGGGACTTCTGTCCTCACTGTGAGTTGTGTTGGGGGTGAGTGCACGAAGGGAGGCTCAGCCAATCTCACTGTACACATGTTGCACTCTGACCATAAAGGTAACAATAAATTCCTCCTTATTGACGCTTCCAAGCAAGACCAGGTAATCTCTTCTTGACGGCTGGGGTCACTGGCATCATGAAACAGATCACGAATTGCAACCTTAGGGGAAAGGTGCCAGTGGATCTCACAGAATCTTTTACACCCAGGACCATCCCTGCTTCCTCTGCCACCCCTTTTGAGCCACCAGGAAGTGGGGAGATGTTGCCGCTCACATTCCCAAACCCCAGGTGGAATTTGGTTGTGTATCCCTCACTTTGCACCTCAAGGTTGCAATGCAACATGAGCTTTGATGTTCTTGGCTACCCTGCCTTTTGTCTATAAATAGGACCCCACCCCCGCTAGCCTGGAACGGTTCCTTCCAGGTCCTCCTTCCGGCCTGAGCTGCAGCCATGTCTCTTAGCAGGGAGGGTCCCACAACGCATTTCCAGGAGTCTTGTGATATTTCAGGAACTAAAATTTGCGCGTGGCTGGCAAGGCCCCCTTGGAACAAAGGAGCCTTTGCGAAGGGGCCTCTCCCTTCTTGCAGGTGAGGAACCCCAAAAGGCTCTTCCACTAAACCAAACCTACCTTCACCGGCCGGTCGCTGTTGGCAAAATTATTGATAATGGAGAGTGATTCCTGGAAACGTGAGCTGCCACTGAGCGCCACGTCGGCAATCAACTGGCTCACTGCAATAATGATCTGGCAGAGAAAGAGAGAGACCTCAGTCAGAGTTAGGGAAGTGACAAGTTGACTAGCTGGGACCTGGGAACCCAAAGGAATCCGGCTGACCCGTACAGGAACAGCTTCGGATATCAAACCTCCTGGGAACCCCAATATTGGTCCACTGCTCCTTGTCTGCCGATGGCATCACCCCACAAACAGCCTCCGATGGAAATGGAATGATCTGATTGGGTTTGGATTCCACAGGGGCTGAACTTGCAGGAAGAACCATTCTTGGTCCCAAGGGGGACTTGCTTGCTTGCAAATGTTTCTGTCTGAGTCACTGTTCTGGGCCGAACCTGCATCTGGTAAGCATCTGCCAGCCACAAGCTTGGTGAAAACCAGCAGTTAAATTTGGTCCCGGACAAGAGATGGAAATTCCCATGGATCCATGGCATTTCCTTAGGGATCTGAGCTTTCTTGCCCCTGAATCACAGATGTGTCACCAAGAAACGCATGAAACCAGCCAACTTATGCAGCCCTGGAGAAAGGCCAGGGTGGATTCAGAACCCGAGCAAATTCTCAGATTTACAATGTTTTGGAAAAAAAAAAAAAAAAGGAGCCACGTTTCTCAAGAGGATGCAATTTTGGTGAGGTCATAGATACCACAGGAATAGAAGCAGGATTGTACAACTCCTCCCCGCTTCCTTATTTCAAAAGATTAAGTGCATTTTGGTGTGTTTTCCCATCAAACGCGGTGGGCGGGGGAAGACCCATGGGCCTGCTTTCTTTTAAAGAGGCTGCAAGCCGGCTTCAGAGGACTGAATACAGCCCTGGAGTCTTGTCCTGCATTGTAACAGCATGTGAGAATGACCTTGGGAGACGGAGCCCAGAGATGCTGCCTTAGAGAACGGTCAGAGAGCTCATGGCTGCACAATAGGTGGAGAAGATCCTCCCTACTTTATCTGGCTGTATAGGAGGCAGGAGGAGGTCACGTACTCCCAGGCTTGCGAGGTTCCGATACTTAGCCCTACAAGAAAGTAGAATTTGCTCATCTGGTCAGGTTTCCTGTCTGGTCCACCAGGTAAGGCTGACATACAGCCTCTGGGGTCAAGCAGGGGATGAAAGTGAAATTCAGACAATGCAGAGGTCAAGAACCAAATTTCTCCTAACAAAACTTCTGCTTTTCTTCTTCCTCAGTATTTCAACCTTCCTCATGTCACAAGTTTCCCAGGACGTTGAAGGTAACACACCCAGCGTCTCTTGAAAGAGCCTGCTGTCCAAACAAGCCAGCCTGATCTGATATTTATTCAACCTTCAAGGCGATAAGAGAGCACCTTTCCCACGTTCTTTCTCTGCGCAAAAGGTTGGGGACAAGGGGAGAACTATTTCTAAGTCCCCCTCTTTGAGCGAGGGAGGAGGTTGTGAAGAAACAGTGGCCGTGAGAGCCAGCAAAGTTTTCTTCCCTTTTCACTGACCTGCAGGTGAGTCCTTAAGAAGGTCTTCCGCTTGGTGAACTCGAAGTTGTTCCTCATGAGAAGGTAGAGGAGGGCAGAGGCCTCGCTCCGCGTGGAGTTGAGCTTGGACGTGCAACATTTCAGGACCTCGTAGCAGAAGGCAGAGCACATGGTCACCCTTCCCTTGAAGAAGGCCGCAGGGAACTGGAGGAGGAAGAGGAGGAGAAGGAAGTGCTACCTGGGGAAGAGGAGGCCCTGGTCCATCTCGGAAGGACCTCTCCTTCATGGCCTCATCCTCAGACCGGCATGAGTTGCCACCTTCTTGCCTTCAGGCGAAGTAAACCAGGCGGGAGTCTGCAGACCCTGAGAAGTTTCAGGTTTGCAGAATGCAATCTGGGTCGCTCACCTGGACCAGAGGTTTGGTCTTCTGAGCTTTCAGATTCATGCTGGAGCCCAGGAACTTCTCTCTAGATGGGTCTTCTAGGAACTAGAAGATTGGGCTCCAACACCTGTCCAAGAACTCAGAAGACCAAAGACTAAACAAGGAGAGATTCAACCTGGAAATAAGGAGAAACTTTCTGACAGGGAGAACAATCAACCGAGGGAACAGAAGTTGCCTTCGGAAGTTGGACTAGATGACCTATAAGGTTCCTTCCAACTCTGATTATCTGTTATCTGTTAAATCTCTGGTCCTGGTCATCGACCCATATTGGATCCTGCAATATTATCTCGGGACGGGTAGATGGGCCTTCGTTCGTGAGCTTCAGGCTTCACGAAATTGACAGAATTAATTAACAGCCTCCCAGCCGTAAACATGCGAAAGTTGTGGAAGAAAACTAGCTGAAAACAGACAAGAAGGACAATTTAAACCAGGATGTTGGGATCTCAGAATGGAGTCAGTTGACTCTCTTCCTGCTCTGCTCTCTGGGGTAGAAGGATACCCTACCCCACCCCAGGGGTCCCCAAACTCGGCCACTTTGAGACTCGTGGACTTCAACTCCCAGAATTCTCCAGCTTGCTTCGCTAGATGTCAACTTTACGCCTGCTTACTCTCTTGCAATCTCTCCACTCTAGGGAGTAGGAGGAAAAGAACCCAACAGGCATGGTTGAATGGGGGATTCTGGGAGTTGAAGTCCACCAGCCTTAGAATGGCCAAATTGGGCGGGGGGGGGGCTGCCCTACCCGAGTTAAAGCACAGAAAAAGACCCTGCAGGAAGGACAGAGAGACCAAGCAAAATCACCTCGGTTGAAGTGAGCATTTTGCACAGCATGCAGGACGGTCTATTAGGAAGCAGCCAGGCCCAAAATAAACCTTTTACTATCGCTGTTAATAGAGCGGAACGAGTCTTTCGTGTGTGGGGTTGCCTGGAGGCCTTCCTGCCCCCTTTTTCCTACCCTCTGACATGCTTGGTACAAATCCAGGATATATATATATATATATTAAAAAAATAAATCTGGCCCCCAAAAGGAAACAGGTGCCTCTTGGTTCACTGCCCAGAATTGGGGAAGTGACCTATTTTGATCCCAGCAGGGAGGGAAGCGAGAGGCCAGTGAGGATGTACGGGGCAGTTTCTCCACCCCTCACCTTGTTGATAAAGGCTCTCAGGGAGGCGAAGATGTGCTTCAGGGCCGCCTCTGACTGCCCATTCTTGAGGAAGGCCAGGTGGACATCAAACACCTTTTTCATCAGCGGGTTATGCCCGTCGTTGTTCGAAAGCTGGTTCTGGGGAGAAATGGATCCAGGTGAACTTTGGCTGGAAAATCCCCACAAAGGGGCTCAAGAGATGAAGAATCTGCTGGTTGGTTGGCTGGTTTTTAAATGCTGGGCATTTAAAAGCTGGAATGGCCCATCCAAGCAGCCCCCAACAATTGCAGAATGTTTGGGACAGGCGGTCCTCGCTTAGTGAAAATTGGGACCGGCAACTTGGTCATTAAGAGAGAGACAGTCACCCAGTGAAACTGTGACAGGCCTTATGGTCTAACTTCAGCTCTCCTTTGCTTTGAGGACCAGCAAACGTTGTCAAAGAGAGGATTGCATTACATTTTTACCATCAAAGGAACTGCGAATGGTTGCTAAATGAGGCAGTCGCTAAACAAGGACTAAGGCCTCAGGAGTAGGAGGGGCAAATTCCAATGAGAGTCACAAAGGTTGGTCCAAAGAAAATTCAAAGCTGAAGACTCGGCCAACCGAGAGTCCAGACGCATCCAAGCTCAGCTGCTACAAGGAGGGCCTTCAACCGAGAGAGAGAGAGAGAGAAAGAGAAGACGCCAGGATGGACCTTGAAGCACTGAGTGAAGAAGGTGATGGTGTCCAGCACTGTCAAGGTCACTTCCGTGGTCAGGTTGCCTTCCAGCAGGGCCTGATGGACAATGTCTGCCTCCGATGTGCCGGCACCTGAGATTAGAAAGTCAAGGTTGACCCAGGGGTGGGGCTGCTGCGGGTTCGCAGGGGTTTTGGGTGAGCCCCGAGCTAAGGTTCTGGGCATCCCCAAATCCCACTCCTGGCTGGCCCCACCCACCCTGCTCCTCCCCTCCTAGGAGACCCCACATGGCCTGTTTTGGATGCAGGTAAATGCAAGGTGTGCACGGAGGCTCATGGAGGGTGAAAAATGGGCCTCCCAGAAGTTTGGGAAGGCTGGAAATGGACCTCCGGAGTCTGGGGAGGCTGTTTTCACCCTCCCGGAGACTCAAAGATAGCCTCAGGAGCCTGGGGAGGGCAAAAATGCCCTCCCACCGTGGTGCAGGAGGCCGACTAGGCCACGCCCACCATGGCCACGCCCACCCAGCCACCGGGCAGAGAACCCTTTGCTGAAATGTTTGGAGCCCACCCCTGGATTGAGCTCCCTTTAACCATCCTCTGGTTGACAAGGAAGGAGCGGCCAGGGAGAGCTCGTTCGGGGGCTGCAAACCCCCAGGCCATCCCAGCTCGGTCGGCCTTGAGCTCCCGTCTGCCAGAGCAGAAGACCACCCAAGGAGAAGGCCCCCCATTCTGGGCCTTCTGTTGGCCACCTACTGTGGTTCAGCGTGAAAGAGCTGTCCAGACTGTTCAGGTGCTGAAGTCGGGACTGCATGGTGCTCGCCCGGCTGCGGAGGACGGGCATCGTTTGGGATTTCCGGTCAATGCTCGCGTGTTTGGACAGCCAGCCATCCTGGGCCCTGCAGGAAAGAGATTCAGAGCTCAGCCCTCTGTGCATGGGGTCCAAATGCACCCCCCAAACCTCAACGGGGGGCCCATGACACCACGCCTAAATGCAGACCCACCCATGGCCTGCAATTTGGGGGCAGGGCAGGCACCTCTACTGCAGGGGCCTTCAAACTGGACAGCTTTAAGATGTGTGGACTTCAACTCCCAGAATTCTTCCTCCTCCAGTCATGTTAGCTCAGGAATTCTGGGAGTTGAAGTCCACAAGTCTTAAAGTTGCCAAGTTTGGAGACCTCTGAGATAGAGCAACCAACCAATCAGCCAATCAATGGCCATGCTATCTGAGGATGATGATGTTGACTAACCCATCACATTGATGGAGGTTGAATTTGAGAGCAGATGTGGATGTGATCCTTTGAGCCAGGGGCCTTCAAACTGGACAGCTTTAAGATTTGTGGACTTCAACTCCCAGAATTCTTCCTCCTCCAGTCATGTTAGCTCAGGGATTCTGGGAGTTGAAGACCACAAGTCTTAAAACTTGCCAAGTTTGAAGAGCCTTGCTCTACGGTCTCCCTGCTCCTTGACAGTCTGGGGTCCTGAAGGAGAAGCTGTAGCTGCAGGGGGTTGGTACCCTAAAAGAGAAGGCACCTCACCTGTCCCCTCCAAACCCTGGTGGGTTTTTGTTGTTGTTTATTTGTTTGTTTTACTTTTAATCCATTTTTATGTTTATAATAGTTGAACGTTTGTTTTGTCTTGAAGAAAGCCATTCAAATTCACTTGGACTGTGGGGTGGGCTACAAATACATTGGATAGGTAAATAGGCCAACCCTGCCAACTGGGTGCAGCTGGTATATCCACCAAATAACCCCCCCACCCATCCCCCACATGCCCATCCCCCACAGTACCTGGCAATGTTCCTTTTCCCCACATATCGGAAGTGGAAGAGACAGACTCTGCAGCACGAGAGGGAAAGAAATGGAGATAATCAAGGTCAGGAAAACATCTAGATTGACGTTTCTCAAATTTGGCGACTTGAAGTGGGTGGATTCAATTCCCAGAATTCCCGTGTGACTGGCTGGGGAATTCTGGGCGTTGAAGTCCAACCATCTTACCAAGGTTGAGAAACTCTGATCTGATATTATCTCTTTCCTTGAGCTGTGGCCATCCCACAAACCGGCAAATGCTTAGTGGGCATCTGCGCCCCTCTAAATGTGGCCCTCAACAATTCTTCTTCCTAGAAGTTTCAACAGGTGATCCTTCTTCCTCCCCTCCATCTCTGAAAAAAAGCACAGAGATGCCCAGGTAAACTTACTCTAGCAGGACCAAGCCGTTCATCAGCTCCTGGGGAGATATTTTGTTCCAGTAGGACAACAAGGTGTCTGCAATCAAAAGAAAACGATTTAAGGTGTCTCCCGTCGTCCCTTGACTCTCCCAGCCCAGGAAATGGGGACGGAGAGGGCTGACCTTCAGACAGCATCTTGATGACGTAAAGATAGCAGACGAGCAGGCTGCGGATCTCGTACTGGTCCAGCCGCCCAAAATGGGAGAGGCTGCTGCGCGTGGAACTTTTCCGCATCTGCATTGACCAAGAGGAGCCCAAAAAGAGGCAAGAGAGGTAAGGAGAGGAGTGGCTAGTACCCCTATTAAAGTATCTTTACCCCTGTTTTCCCCTTCCCCCTTTAAATAAAGGTATCTAATATTGTGGTATCTGTAAATATGGCCAGCCAATTCTTCCCCCAGACTAGCACAGGTAGTCCTTGACTTATGAGTGATTGCTTAGCGACCATTCAAAGTTCCAACAGACCTCCCCCCCCGCAAAGGTACTTCTGGCCCGATTCTGAAGTTCTGATGGCTGCCCCCTCCCTGTGGTCAAACAATTGCAAGCTGGGTGCTCATCAGAGGTGGGATTCAGTCGGTTCTGACCAGTTCTGGAGAACCGGTAGCGGAAATTCTGAGTAGTTCGGAGAACCAGCCAATGCCACCTCTGACTGGCCCCACCAACCCCATCTATTCTCTGCCTCCCAAATCCCAGCTGATTGGCTGGGTCTTCTTGTGTTGCCCTGCACAGGAGAACGGAGCTGGAAAGCAGGTTAGTGGGGTGGGGAGGGAAGGGGGATTTTGCAGGATCCTTGCCCTGCCACACCCACCAAAGCCATGCCCACAGAACACCACGCCCACCAAGCCACATCCACAGCTGATTGGCTGGGTCTCCTTTGGTTGCCCTGCACAGGAGAACGGAGCTGGAAAGCAGGTTAGTGGGGTGGGGAGGGAAGGGGGATTTTGTAGGATCCTTCCCCTGCCACGCCCAGCAAGTCACCCCCACAGAACCGGGAGTAAAAAAATTTGAATCCCACCACTGGTGCTCATCAACTGGCCATGTGTGCATCCACTGGCCATGTGTGCATCCTGTAGCCGGGTGACCGTGTTTTATGGTAGCTTGGCAAGGAAACCGGCATTTGCTTCCAGTTTTCAGCCAAGCACGCCCCCCCCCCCCAAGCGAGCGATGGGGCTCTCTAGAGCTTATAGAGTCGTGCTGTCTGTTCCCCAGTCTCTCTGGGAATCTAAAGGAGCAACTGTACATTTTCTCCGGAGGAAGGCTGATCGGGGGAGCCGGCCGTTCCTTCCGAAATGAGGGACCCCCGCGAATCTTCCCTTTTCAAAAAAAGGCCATTCTGGAAGCCGGCGCCATAAACTGCAAGAAAAGATTCGGGAAATACTAGAATGTGCAGCAATGAACAGATGAACACTTGTAATTAAAGAAAGACAGCAAACAGAACGTTATACGGTACGGACATTATTTTATCAACGGTTAGAGAGAAAAAAAAATGAAAGCTAGATATGGATTACTTAAGAAAGATAATAGATATTTTTTAATAGAAATAAAAAAGCTTAGGAGAAAGATAAAGAGATATTGATATTAAGTTCAATAAGTGCACTAAGATTAGAGAATAATACTATGTAATAAATATGGCTGCAAACACTAACTGTATTGCACAAGATATTTGCATCCAGTCGTCAAATGGAAAAAGATATGTTTGCAAATAAAATAAAATAATTATATATATATATATATCCCAGCATTCCTTACGTGAGTCTTTATCCACAATGAGGCTGGACCTGTTGGAAGGGGAGGCGAAGCTGCACAGGAATTCATCGCGGGAGGCCTGCACGGAAGAGGGAGCGGGTTCAGGGAAGGGAACATCGTGGCTCCAAGCCAAGTTCAGGAGGATAACCAGAAGGCAAGCTCTGAAAATCTTGCAGTGTTTTGCCTCTGGAGGCCGGGGAGAGAGAGAGAGCTAAAATCCGCCCGGCTTTGAGTTCCTTAGCTTGAGAAACTAGAACCGACTAGGACAGAGGTCGCCAAACTTGGCCACTTGGAGACTTGCGGACTTCAGCTCCCAGAATTCTCCAGCCAACTTCGCTAGGCTTCAACTTTATGCCTGCTTTCTCTCTTGTAATCCCTTCCGCTGCAATCTCTCCACTCAAGGGAGTAGGAGGAAAAGGACCCAACAGGCATAGTTGAATGGGGGATTCTGGGAGTTGAAGTCCGCCAGGCTTAAAGCGGCCGAGTTTGGGGAGCCCTGGACTAGAACCAAGAGTCTCCAAACTTGGAAGCTTTTAAGATTTGTGGACTCCTGGAATTCCCCAGCCCAAGTCTTAAAAGTTGCCAGGTTTGGAGGCCCCTGGGCTAGACTAGATGGCCTCTCTATTGTCCTCATGGGGCAAACCAGAGAGGAATCACCACTGGATGAGCTACTTCTGTTTTAATTGGGAGGCTACCGCGACGGAATCCTTGCCATCTGAGAGAGACGGTTCCTTCTCCGCCTCTTCTTCTCCTGCCTCTTTTAGATCTGAGGTCTCTGTCCTCCCTCATCTGACCATTCCCTTGGCTACGTAGGTCTCTTGGCCCCGTCTCCCAAGGTCTTCCCCACACACCATCCCAGTTCTCCCTTCCAACTTTATGACTGAAGGCTCTCCGTTTTTCTAAAGGTTTCTCTCCCAGCAGGCGCTCTGTGTGTGTGTGTGTGTGTGTGTGTGTGTGTGTGTG